CCCTTCTAGGGACCTGTTCGGCCGTCTCGGCGCGATTTTTGGAGCCTCTGAGGCTGCTTTCCGCCGTTCTTGGCCAGAAGTGACGATAACCCACACAACTTATAAGAACAACACAAAAGTAATCGAATTTTGTCTCATCGGGCCCTCTGGGAGACCTCTTTGAGGCCACTTGGGGCGTCTTGGGGGCTTCTTCGACCGCCTTTGAGCCATCTCAGGCCGTCTTGGGGGTGTCTTCGACCATCGTCGAGCCCAGGAGGCAGGGACAAGCAAAAGGGCGTGAAAACGAACCCTCAAGAGGAAGGGGAGACGGCCTCAAAAGAAATTGTGCAACGATTGGTACCGATTTTCGTCGGCGAAAGACGGCCAAAGGCCTCGAAGAGGCCCCAAGACGTCCCACAAGGTCCCAAGACGGCCCAAGAGGGCCCCAAGACAGTCCAAAAGAGTTCCAAATGGGCCCCAAGAGGACGGCCCAGAAGACCCAGAGACGCCAGATAAAGAGTGATCGGTAACGCTAAAAGCTCTTCACGCCAAGGCTTCAACCGCGAAAGCGGTGAGAGCCGGATTTATCCCGATACCGGTAAGGCGGCCCAAGAGAGCACCACAAGCCTCCCAAGAGAGCCCATAGAGGTGAGACATCGGTGTGAGACATCGCTTCCAGCGCCAAGGCTGTGATTACGCACAGTGGCGCGAGCTATCGCGGGCAAGTTCTTGAAGCGCTCTTTCCGTTCCCGTGCCGGCCCAGGTAACGGAAAGAGCGAGGTGCGAGTGATGATGTTGTGTTTGGGCGAAGCCTTTTAGGGAGGGGTCCAGGGGAGGGGGGAGGGGCGGAGGGATGGGTCTAATGGCCGCTCGGGGCGTCTTGGAGGCCTCTTGGGCGCTTCTTGGACCGTCAGAGGCGCCCAAAAAGGCCCAAGATACCTCCAAGACGGCCCAAGAGCGCTCCAAGAGAGCCCAAGACCGCCCAAGACGACCCAAGAGACCTCCAAGAGGCCTCCAAGACGCCCCAAGAGGCGCCCAAGGGGCGTCCCAAGAGGGCCCCAAGAAGCCAAAGTCATTGATTTCCGTTGGACAACGTACATCTTGAGCATACGCAGCTTTTCGGCATCCACGGCGTCGACGACGGCCCAAAAGGCCCCCAAAACCACCCCAGGGCGGCCCAAGAGGTTCCCAAGAGGCTTCCAAAACGGCCCGAGAGGGCCCCAAGACGGCCCAAAAGGCGCCCAAGAGATGGGGCCCCAAGAGGGGGACAACCAACCGAAAAGTCTAGCCTTTCGCCCCAAGGAGCTCCCAGGAGGCCCCAAGAGTCCCCAAGAGGCCCCCCAAGAGGCCCAGGAGGCCAAAAATATTGATTTCCCACCGAAAAACATATGTTTTTAGCATATACTGCGTTTCGGCTTTCACGGCGTTAACGACGGCCCAAGAGGCCCCCAAAACCGCCCCAAGACGGCCCAAGAGGCTCCCAAGAGGCCCCCAAAACGGCCCAAGAGGGCCCCAAGACGGCCCAAGAGGCGCCCAAGACGGCCCAAGAGAGCCCCAAGACGGCCCCAAGAGGGGGACCACGAACTGACAAGTCTTAGCCTTTCGCCCCAGACGCTCCCAGGAGGCCCCAAGAGCCCCCCAAGAAGCCCCAAGAGGCCCCCAAGAGGCGTCCCAAGAGGTCACCAGGAGGCCCAAATCGTTGATTTCCTTTGGCAAACATGCGTTTTCAGCAAACACGGCTGTTCGGCTTTCACGGCGTTGAAGACGGTCCAAGAGGCCCCCAAGACCGCCCCAAGACGGCCCAAGAGGCTCCCAAGAGGCCCCCAAGAGGCCCCAAAAAGGGCTCCAAAAGGGCCCCAATAGGACTCCCAAGAAGGCCCAGAGATGCCAAATAAAGAGCGATCGGTAACGCAAAAAGCTCTTCACGCCAAGGCTCCCAAGAGCGAACGGTGACGTAAACAAGCTGATAAGACCAAGGCTCCCAGCAGAGAGCGGTGACGTAACAAGTTCCTGACACCAAGGCCCAGCCAAGGCTCAGGAACGGGCGGCAACGCAACAATCTCTGAACACCAAGGCTCCCAAGAGCGAGAAGTGACGTAACAAGCTCTCAACGCCAAGGCTCCCAGTACGAACGGTGGTGTAAGTAATTTCGGTTTCTGTTTCTGAAGCGCTCTTTCAGTTTCTGTGCCGGCCCAGGTAACGGAAAGAGCGAGGTACGAGTGTTGACGTTGTGTTTGGGCGAAGCCCTCTAGGGAGGGGTCCAGGGGAGGGGGGAGGGTTGGAAGGATGCGGTCTAACGACCGCTCGGGGCGTCTTGGAGGCCTCTTGGCGCTTCTTGGGCCGTCTTGGGCGCTGAAGACGGTCCAAGAGGGGTCCAAGACGGCCCAAGAGCCCTCCAAGAGAGCCCAAGACCGCCCAAGACGGCCCAAGAGGCTTCCAAGACGCCCCAAGAGGCGCCCAAGAGGCGTCCCAAGAGGGCCCCAAGAGGCCAAAATCATTGATTTGCTTTGGGACACATACATTTTGAGCATACGCGACTTTTCGGCCCCCACGGCGTCGACGACGGCCCAAGAGGCCCCCAAGACCGCCCCAGGACGGCCCAAGAGGCTCCCAAGAGGCCCCCAAAACGGCCCAAGAGGGCCCCAAGACGGCCCAAGAGGCGCCCAAGACGGTCCAAGAGGGCCCCACGACGGCCCCAAGAGGGGGACCACGAACCGAAAAGTCTAGCCTTTCGCCCGAAGAAGCTCCCAGGAGGCCCCAAGAGGCCCCCAAGTGGCCCCCAAGAGGCCCCCAAGAGGCGTCCCAAGAGGCCCCCAAGAGACCAAAAACATTGATTTCCCTTTGGAAAACATACGTTTTTAGCATATACGGCTTTTCGGGTTTCACGGCGTTGACGACGGCCCAAGAGGCCCCAAGACCGCCCCAAGACGGCCCAAGAGGCCCCCAAAACGGCCCAAGAGGGCCCCAAGGCGCCCAAGACGGCCCCAAGAGGGGGACCACGAAGCGAAGCAAAACGGTTAGCCTTTCGCCCCAAGAAGCTCCCAGGAGGCCCCAAGAGCCCCCCAAGAGGCCCCAAGAGGCCCCCAAGAGGCGTCCCAAGAGGCCACCAGAAGGCCCAAATCATTGATTTCCTTTTGGTAAACATACATTTAAAGCATACACGGCTTTTCGGTTTTCACGGCGTTGAAGACGGTCCACGAGGCCCCCAAGACGGCCCAACAGGTTCCCAAGAGGCCCCCAAAACGGCCCAAGAGGGCCCCAAGACGGCCCAAAAGGGCCCCAAGACGGCCCCAAGAGGGAGACCACGAACTGAAAAGTCTTAGCCTTTCGCCCCAAGACGCTCCCAGGAGGCCCCAAGAGCCCCCCAAGAAGCCCCAAGAGGCCCCCAAGAGGCCCCCAAAAGGGCTCCAAAAGGGCCCCAATGGGACTCCCAAGAAGGCCCAGAGACGCCAAATAAAGAGCGATCGGTAACGCAAAAAGCTCTTCACATCAAGGCTCCCAAGAGCGAACGGTGACGTAAACAAGCTGATAAGACCGAGGCTCCCAGCAGAGAGCGGTGACGTAACAAGTTCCTGACACCAAGGCCCAGCCAAGGCTCAGGAACGGGCGGCAACGCAACAATCTCTGAACACCAAGGCTCCCAAGAGCGAGGGGTGACGTAACAAGCTCTCAACGCCAAGGCTCCCAGTACGAACGATGGTGTGAGTAATTTCGGTCATTTGTTTGAAGCGCTCTTTCAGTTTCTGTGCCAGGCCAGGTCGAATGGTTTGCGGCCCATCCCGCCATTGTGCCTGGGTTGTGGGTATGAAGCCTATGGGATGTTCATTGGGATCTCGTGGGAGGCTTCTCGGGGGCTTCTTGGAGGCAATTTGAACGCCTCTTGAGGGCGGTTTGGGAGCCTCTTGGGGCCTTGGTTGGGCCTCTTGGGGGCCTCCTGGGCGCCTCTTGGGGCCTCCTGGGGGCCTCCTGGGGCGGAAGGCTTGGATTTTCCGTTCGTGCTCCCTCTTTAGGACCCCTTTTGGAGCCGTTTTGGGCCGTTTTAGGCGCCTCTTGGGATGTCTTGGGGCCCACTTGGGCCGTTTTGGGGCCCTCTTGGAGGCCACTTGGGCCGCTTTGGGGCGGTCTTGGAGGCTTCTGGGGCCGTCTGGGAGCGTCGGGAAGCCGATCAGGCGAGAACGCCCAAATCCTTCAAGCACATCATGAAAATCAATGCTTTGACATATTGGGGCCCTCTTGGGGAGCCTCTTGGAGGCTTCTTTGGGCGTCTTGGAGGCCTCGTGGACCGTCTGGGGACCACCTAAAGCGTGTTGAGCCGATCGTTCGGCGACTCGAGGCCGTCTGGGGCGGTCCTGGATGCCTCTTGGGGACCCTCTTCGCCCACGACAAGACGCAGGGACGTTTCGAAGGCCTCTTCGGCAGTCTGATAGCCATCGTGGGCCGTCTGGAGGTCACAGCGGGCCGTCTTGGAGCCATCTTGGGCCGTCTTGGAGGCATCTTGGCTTCGGGAGAACGAGTTCGCTTTGTTCTGTGAGGGGATGTCGCCTCGGGAGTGCGAATCGGTCGCGTGCTGCGCACGGTTCTGGCCTCGGGAGGGGGGGCGACTGCATGCCTGCGTGAGCAGAGGGGGGAAGGGGGCCCCAGAAGATTACAGACGCCGCATCCCAGCACGCCCCCCAACGCACCAGGGGGCACAATGGCGGACACGCGTGCGTGCCAAGCTGTAGGCCACTGACAACACATGGAGGGCACCAAGAGAGCGCGATGTTCCCGTTCGTGCTCTGGGACACTACCGCGATTCCGGCACCGCGGGCAACAAGTGCGACGCACGGTATCCGAGACATGGCCTTCCCATCAGTTGTACCCCAGCGCGCGCGCTTCGTCTCCGTCCTCTCCTCGTCCTCTGCGCCCGGCTCTTCCGCAGCATCCCCCTCCTCCTCCGCCTCCGCATCCTCCCTCGTCCTCCCCTCCTCCCTCCTCTGCCCCCCTCGCAGCCTGTTCCGGCTCCGGCCACTGCTGCACGCATGGCGACTGACATCAAGCTCGCTGCCGCCGTGCCGCTGCCGCCGCCGCTGGCGGCACGAGCACACCACCAGGCCAGCGAGGACCGCCCCCCGCCGGCGCCGCCGGGCCGCTCGCGGTCCTGGTCGCCGCAGGGCGCGGCCGAGCCCGGGAGGCTGCCCGCCGGGCTGGAGGTGGACTGCGGCCTCCACCTGGAGGCAGGGCCCCGCCTGCGATCCGAAGCGATGCGATTCGATTCGCCAGCGGGGGCCGCGATTCCGATTCCGGTTCGATTCGGTTCGGTCCGTCTCACCAGCATCGGCCGGTGCCAGCAGGAGCTCGGCGCGGCGATGGGATTTCGAGCCGCTTCGGGACGATTCGCTGGCGATCCGACCCGCTTCCGATGCGGCTCGGTGCCTCGGCGCGCTCCAGCTCACGCCTGCCCGGAGGTCCTGGGCCGGCTGCTGCAGCGGCGCGGCGACGGCGAGGGGGGCGCCCGCATGATGAGGCCGCGCCTGGAGTGCTGGGAGGCGGAGCAGGCGCTGCGGCGGGAGCTGCGGCGGAGCAGCGCGGCCCTGGCGCAGGCGCGGCCGCGCGGCGGCGGCAGCGGGGAGGAGCTCGACGCGAAGCCTCCGGGCGCGCGCGTGGGCAGGGCGCCCTCGCTGCTGGCGCAGGCGCGGCCGCGCGGCGGCGGCAGCGGGGAGGAGCTCGACGCGAAGCCTGCAGGCGCGTGCGTGGGCAGGGCGCCCTCGCTGAGCGCCTCCCGCGAGCTGTCGCCGAGGGGGGACAGACTGCTGGCCGGGAACTCCGACGACCAGATCGATAGGATCCTATCGTCGGCCGCCCCCAGCACGGAGGGGTACGCGAGCATGGGCCACTACAGCAGCCACGCCAGCTTCGTCGGCCACAGCAGCTGGGACAGGGACGAGCGCGTCATCGACCAGCTCCGCAAGCCGTCCTCGTCGAGACAGCTCGCCAAGCAGAAGCCCCTCTCAGAGGATCACACGAGGGTGGAAAAGCCACCGAGGGCGTTCTACACGATGCGGTGGCTGATGAGCAAGCCGCAGTACGAGATGGCCTGGGCGTTCCTCATCTTCTGCAACCTGATCGTGATGATCCTGGAAGTGGAGTACAAGGGCATGCAGTGCGGCTACGAGCTTGGGGGCATATACGCCCATTATGGCTCGCAGGAGTATACTAGCAGGTGGTGGCCTGGAGCCGACAGGGCGTTCTACACCGCGGAGTGCCTTTTCGCAGGGGTCTTCACTCTGGAGCTGCTCATCACGTGCGGCTACGACTTCGCGTGCGCGTATGCCGCCTGGCCTACCCACCGGGCTCCCTTCTGGAAATGCCCGCTGGACCTCGTGGACTTGATTGTCGTCGTGTGCTCCGACGTGTCGCTGGCCCTTGACGAGACGGACACGGCGGGCAGCATGCAGGCGTTCCGCATCCTGCGCCTGGCCAGGCTCCTGCGGCTGATCCGGCTTCTGAGGAAGATCTACCAGTTCGACACTTTGCACCTCATGACAACGGCCATCAAGGGGAGCATGGGCGCCCTGATGTTCTCCAGCATGCTACTGATCACGATTCTGACCTTATTCGCGATGGTGCTCACGAACATGTTGCGGACCACTTACATAGGGGAGGACTCCCCCTTGGAGCCTGAGAAGCAGCAGGAGCTCTTCCGCTACTTCGGGACTTTTTCCAGGTCGATGCTCTCGATGTTCGAGCTGGCCCTCGCGAACTGGCCCACGGTCACGCGGTTCATGGTCGAGGAGCTCCACGAGTGTTTCGGGCCGATCTGCATCGTGTGGAAGTTGTCGATCGGCCTTGCCGTCGTCGGCGTGATCAACGGCGTGTTCATAAGAGAGACCTTTTCAGTGGCCGAGAGCGACGAGTTCATCATGATCAGGAGCAGGATGCGGCAGGTCCTCCAGCACCAGGACCGCATGAGACGCCTCTTCCAGCTCGCGGACAAGAACAACGACGGGGTGCTCGTCCGTGAGGAGTTCCGCCGCGTCTTCGAAAAGCCCGCGATCAAGGCCTGGCTGGAGGCCATGGAGCTGCGCTGCGACGACGCGGACACGCTCTTCGCACTCCTGGCGGGCTCGGCGGACGGCGTGATCAGCGAGGAGGGGCTGATCAGAGGCATCGCCCAGCTCAAGGGGCCAGCCAGGAACTTCGACCTGCTGACCCTCGTGCGTGGCCTCGAGGCCGCGAAGACTCCCAGCTGAGGCGCCCGACGGCGGCCGGCCGGCGCTGCCGCCGCCGGGACGGCGGCGTGGAGGCCGCCGGGCGGGCAGGAGAGGGGCAGCGGCGGGCGCCAGAGCGCACACCGTGCGGCTCTTGCCGCATCGAGCAGCGGGTCGATGGCCCTCTGCCTTGGGAGAGCCGGCCCGAGGCCAGGCGCGCCCCCGGCCCGCCTCGGCGGGGCGCAGTGCATGCACAACTCCTCCTCGCCTCCTCCTCCTCCTCCTCCTCCTCCTCCTCCTCCTCCTCCTCCTCCTCCTCCTCCTCCTCCTCCTCCTCCTCCTCCTCCTCCTCCTCCTCCTCCTCCTCCCTCCTCCCTCCTCCTCCTCCAGCCGCCGTCCCGGCTCAGGGGTTTTGGGCGCAGATCCCAGGGATCTGCGAACCCCTCCGTCGGACAGCGGCCATACGTGCTGGCCTGCCTCCAGCGAGGCGGCTGGCCGTGCCATCGCACCGCGCGCGCGGGCAACTGTGGCAGGCCCCGGGCCCTCCGCCACAGTGTGCCGCGCCTGCGACGCGCGTGGCAGGCCCCGGGCCCACCGCCACGACGCGCCGCGTGGCGCCACCAGAGCCAGCCTGGCACAGGCGAGAGAGGTCACGCAGAGCGAGTGACCGAGTCTTTGTCAGACTTGCAGCTTCGTTTGCACGACTTCAACAGCATCATAGCAGTCAGAAGGGGACCACAATGACGATGGCTCCAAGAATGTCACGCCCATCGGCAGGCACTCAGAAGTTCTGGGAATGCAGCTCATGCCAGCGCCAGAACCTATGGTCCTCATCATCCTGCAGATTCTGCTCCGCCAGCCACCACAAGGATGAAGACCCCATCGAAGATCAAGACGATGACAGCAGCGGATGGCAAGTGCAGCGCAGAAGACGTAGCTCACGTCCGCGCTCAAGACCAGCGCCGTGGCAGGGCGCATGGAACCAGCAGCAGTGGCACAACTGGGACAAGGGCGCCTCGCAGCAGAAGGACACGCCCACCAGAGCACGCAGCACAGCGCCGACCCACGCGGTCGCGCAGGCACCGCCGCTGCCAAGGCCAGCGGACCCAGAGCATGCAGAACAGCATCGTCTTTGGCTGCCACCACCAGCATCAAGCAAAGACCTGCGTGCCCATCGTGCCCAGCTCAAAGGGTCTCTTGATGCTTTGGAGAAACAAATTGCCTCAGCATACGAGCTAGGGCAAAGAGGGGAGATCATCCGCTCCCTCGAGGACGACTACTCGGTGATCTTATACCAAGTCATGTTCGCCAGGGACGCCAAGTCACGCACCGAGCAGCAGCGGGCCTACCTGGACAGGGTCAAGAAAAGGCAGCAGGACCCCCAGAAAGAAGTTGACAACCTCTCAGAGAAGCTGCGCTTGGCAAAGGCGCGCACGCAGGCAGTGATGGAAGACGTCATCAAGGCCGAGGAGCTGCTGGCACACTTCGAGTCCCTCGAGCGCCAGGAGCAGCACGACCGAGACGCCGCAGCAGCGGGCATGGACGTGGACGGCACCTCCCAGAAGATAGACAGCGCTGCGATTGGCACAGCGCACGCATCCAGCAGTCCTCCAGTTGCGCAGCTCGCGGCACTACAGGCTACCAACGCCGACATGTCAGAGCAGCTCACCAAGCTGGCAGCCCAGATGGCAGTGCTGCAGAGCGCGCTGAGCGCCCAACTGCAGCAGCAGCAGGCGAGCGCAGCCCCCAGCATCGCTGGGATCGCGGCACCAGCGCCGCAGACGCCAGCAGCAGCAGTCCATGCACCAGTGACGGCAGGACCTACACAGAAGGCAACAATGCTGGCAGGGGAGCCCGCCTCATGGCCGGCTCCACCAGGAGCCCAGGCGGCACCCTCACCAATGGAAGCAGCGTTCGCAGCAGCAAGCGGAGCAGCAGCCGCCAGCAGCCCAGATCCTGGAGGCAGGGCTCCAGCAGGTGCACCGAGCCGCCAGCGCAGAGCCACTCCGGCAGCAGGGCGTGCGGCAGGACGCCCGGGCAGCCGCCCAGCCAACGGAGGCATCCTCAAGGTCGCGTTCGACAAGAGCGTCGCGAACGCCAAGCGCCTCACGGGACCAGTGGAGCTCACCTCCGAAGATGACATGCACGAATCGGAAGCTGAGTCACAAATGGCCGCAGCCGAGCCTGATGCCCCGTCGCAGACTGTCATAGCGACTCGGCCCGAGGAGGCAGATCGCGAGCTTTGACGGTCACCACTGCCTGAGACGGAAATGCATGTGCCGTCGCAGGCAGCGGACAGCCTAGAGGATTGTCCAACGCCGCCTTTAGAAGCACCTCCAGAGCAGCAACTGTCGCAGCTAGGCCTCGCCACTAGCCCGATCCCTCCGTTGCTCCCTACTAAGGAGATCATTCTAAGGTGCTGGACTACGCCCCTGGGAACCGACATACTATCACATGCGCAGTTTTGGCACACTACTACAGTACAGGGTATGGTTACCTTATCCGAAGCTCCTCAGCCCACTGAGGTCCCCACCAGTATCCAGATCTACACTGACGGAACCGCTGGCGGTTTCAAGGACTGGCAAGGAAACGAATGCCCCCCTGCCTGGGAATTTGTTGCCATAGCATCAGACGGGGAGAGACAGTGGCTGCATGGTTATCTCGCTCATCCCTTCTCGTCTGCCGCTCTCCTATACCCCACTGCGCTCCTTTCAGCTGCCGCGGAGTTTGAGGCTGCCATATGGGCTGCCGCCTGGTGCATACAGCATCCGTACTTGGAGCACACACATGTGACGATACACACCAACAACATGGAGGTGGTACGTGGGGCGTCTTTGGGGGCACTCAAAGGGCAGCTCTTGGGCCTCAAGGGTACCTTGGACGGTCTGGTGCAGGTCCTTACTAGGATCGCCAAAGGGTTCTCTTGGCAACACATTCCAGGACACCAGGGGACACCGTGGAACGAAATGGCGGACACGCTGGCGCGTCTGGCAGCCATGGGCATATATACTTCACAGCCTGACACACAATGGAGAACGGAGCTGGACCTGCCATGGCATCAGCGCGCCTTGCAGTGGCTTTGGCTAGAGTTTGTCAGCCAAGAGCGGCGCAGTCAGTTTCCTCCTGCGCATGGCGTGCCAGTCTCTGCGCGCCAAGCACCGAATACCTCTATGACAGACTACGTCCCTGCATCAGAGCAGGCCGCCACTCAGGTTGCCAACAGCAAGCAGGCCCTCCTTTCCCCAAGCTTCTGGGTTGCTACGGCCAACGTGCTTACCTTACTCCCCAGCATGTGGAAGGGCCAACATCACCTCACTGGCCCTGGGCCCGGCAGGCTCATGCAATTGGCTTCCCAATTTGCCTCCCAACGATACCTTCTTGTGGGTGCCCTCGAGACCCGACTCCAAGTACACAAGGCGCAGTCATTAGGAGACTACTACGTCATGCACTCCTCTGCCACACCACAGGGCTCCGACGGGTGCGCATTATGGGTACATACGGGGATTCCTTACATGCCGGGCCACCATATCACAAACAACATGTGCCGTGTGTTACATGCAGAGCCTGCGCGGCTGATAGTGAGCATCCGTGGGCCAGGCATATGCGTCAACGTTGTTGTCCCACATGCCCCACATTCCCGCTCCCACTCTCCTACGCAGACACCGGAGGCCAAGGTATCACAATGGTGGGAGGTCACTACACAGCTTGTGACTGCCACACGGCTTGGCGCAGAGCACCTCATCACGCTGGCGGACTCAAACGCAGCGCTTGGCAGCGCGACGTCAGCAGCAGTAGGTGAGATAGACAAGGAGGAGGAGAACTTGGCAGGAGAGCATTTCCACAAGTTTATGTTGGACACGGGCCAATGGGCCCCCTCTACCTTCCTCAATTCGCACTCGGGCATCTCGGGCTCCTGGACCGCACCTTCGGGCAAAACCACGGCCAAACGACGGGACTATGTGTGTCTTTCGGACTCAGCGATTGCACTACAACAGGGCGTTGACGGGGTTGTCGACCTCACAGCTGCACAAGAGGATCACCAGGCGGTAGGCGCACTACTTCTCCTACCCCCCTCAGGCTGCTTCCAGAGGCGTGCCAAGCCGACACGCATCCCTCACGACCCCGCTCGCCTTCGCGACCCCGAGGCACAAGCAGTCTTTAGGAGCCTGTTGCACGAATGCCCTCTACCAGAGTTTTCCATGCATAGCTCAGACCACACGCAGCTCCTAGATCAGCACGTGCGAAGGTCTGTCAGCGAAGCTTTCCCTGAAAAGCAAACCACCCGCGGCACCAAACCACGACAGTGTTGGATCCAAACGGCCACGCTACAGGAGATTGACAGACGCACCACAGCACTTCGACAAGCACGACACGCACGACTCGCTTTGGTGCGCGCATCACGTGCTGTACTCTTCTTCACTTGGGCGCACCTTGCGCACTACGCACGCGCATGCCGGACGTATGACGACCCACGGTACCTGCGATATGCTACCATGCCGCCGATGCCCGACAGTGCGATCACAGCCTGGGAGTGCAGCACCCGCTCGTACAATGCAGTCAGCAGCGAGTTTAGTCATGCCATGGCCAGATCAGCAGAGTTACAACGGCAGGACCCATCCAAAAGCGACGGGCCAAGTGGATGCGCATAGCATTTTTTCCCTCTCCGCGCCTATTCGCCCCGATGCAGCCAGATCACTACCGGCTACATGCTCTCCCTACTCCCGACCTCATTGCGTGCATATGGGATACCATACGGGGGATGGAGGGATGTACGTCGGCAATGCGTGAACTTTTCAAGCTGCACAACACCTTCATTGTTAAGCAGTGCTCACAGTCCGACGCCCAGGCGCACTATCGGGACCTAGCTACACAGCTCAAGTCAGAGTGGGACAAACAAGCCATGGACAAAGCGTTCGCCACGTTACGACGTATGGGCGCGGGGTCCAAGAAGAAACTCCTGGTCCAGGCCCTCCCCATCATCAAAGGGAAAAACGGGATCCCAGCAGCTACCCATCAGGAAGCAGCGAATATATGGCTTGCAC